ATGCTAGCTTCTCTGTTGGCTTTATTTTCAATGGATTAATTCTTTTTTTCTTCTCCCTCTTTTGTTTCATTGAATTACAGACTAAGAAACATTACATTTAACCAAATTCACACTTGAATTTTATTCCTTTATCCAAATAAGTGAATAAAAGTGTGGGCTAGACTGATGGTAGGCAGTCACAACACATAAATTGTTACCCGAGTATATATTTTAGTGTAATTGGGAAAATTACGACCAATGATATCCTAATAATCATCAAAGAAGTTTGGTGGTGCGGAGTGCACGCTTCATTGAGTTTGTTACAATAAAAAATCCCGTTACACCGGGGGTTCCAAGGGGGCAGCGCCCCCGAGCAGGGTTCAATGGGAGGCAGCCCCTGCGGGATCCAAGGGGCAGAGCAGAGGCGGATCCAGAAATTTCGAGCCATGGGGTCCCTGTTTAAGTTTTTGTTATTCAAATTAAATTTCATTTAAAACAAACTAAAAATATGTACTATTTGAATGACATTCTAAATTTATTAATCAAGTCAATTTTTTATAGTCATAAATTTTGCATTGGAAACCCTTAAAGGATGAAATTTGTTATAGTATCTACAAGCACAACTTTAATCTTCCGATTGAATTTGTTTATTGGCATGATACCAAAGTTTTATTGACTTAGAAGTCACAAGTTTAAATCTCACTACAACACAATTAAAAATAATTAATATTCACATAGAAGGTGAACCATGGAAAACTACGTAGTATTTTTAAAAATAATTAATATTCACAAAAAGGTGAACCATGGAAAACTTTCCAAAAATGGAAAGTGAAGAATTAATATGGGATAATTTAAAAAGGAAATAAGGAAGATTAATTTGGGAAAAGAAAGTAGTTTTTTAACTCCTTCACATATCTATTAAAAACCACTTTTACCTATTTCTTTTTCATAACCTATCTATCACATCATATTTTTTTACTGATAATCTACTCGTCACATCTTACTTTTACCCATTATATCAAGAGTATTTTTAGAAAGTCAAAACCAAATATCATTTCCTTAATTTCGTAAAAAGTCAATAAGGGAACGACTTCAAGAGATAGTGGAGAGAGTAATAAAGAAATAAGGAGCATGAATAAGGAGGAGAAATTTTATATGGGACTATGGGAGGCATTGGGATGGAGTACTTTAGTGTGCCCAAACTGCCCATATGGTTACTCAAGAATCAAACCAAACCAAACCAAACAACCAAACCAAAAGAAACACAAGAGTCAAAGTACTATGGTTATGCTCCCTTCAACACTCTTTCCCCAAATCATTGCTTTCTCTACTGAAACCCGACCGCCGATCATCTGAACAGTGCCCACCACCCGCCCCGTCGCACGAACAACCGATTCACTGAAGCAGAGATGATGGGTCGGAGTCGGAGAGGGTGACGTATAGCTTTGAGCTGAAGTCACTGTGAGGATATAAATAAAGATTGGATTTTTGGGGGATTTTCATCCTCTGTTGCTGCCGGAAAGATGAATCCGAGCAAGGTCGAGGAGGACATCTTCCACCATCACATGCTCAATCGATCTCAGCCGCCGCTTATTGACCACCACGCGGCGGAGGAAGACGAGCCCTTCGCTTTCCACGACCTCGTCCTCTTCCGCGACGACGACGACGAGGAGGAGGAGGACGGCAGCCACACCTCATCGGAGTCGGAGCTTCCCCTCACCCGTCGGAACCAATTCCAGTCCTCCGCCAATCCACCGCCGCCCCAGAACCGATCGGATTTGGACGAATCGATTTTCCGAAACCCTAACCCTAGCCCCAATTTCGGCCTCCAGAAGAGGCATCTTTATGAACCCGCATACATCAGCCCAGACCCACACATTTCCTCCCAATTCTACACCTTCAACAAGGAATCTCACTCCCTGATGATCCGCTGCCTCCTGGAAGGCCGTCCGGCCACCCCAGAGGAAATCCGCGCCGCCAACCCCTCCTCCGTGCTCGCCAGCTGGCGCTCTGTTTGGAAGGACCGCAACGAGGACACTGCCTACCTAACCGCCTGGAAGCGCATCCAGGACAAGCTAAGTGCGCACGTAGACAACTCTACCGGTAATGAATACTTGTACTTCAAGAACAATCCTAATCAGTGTGTTTCCTATGTTGATCAATGGCATGGTATAGTCTCCCATTTACATTCTGATGCTGAATCTAAACACTTGGGGCCCAAAGAAACCCTAGAAAGAATCAAACAGATGTGGACTGTGGGTGCCAAATTTTACGGCATCCCAGAGAGTTATATTAGGGTTTGTGTGTCTGCGTGCCCTGTTTGCCTAGACGAAACATCTGGGTGTGCCCCTCGTGGCAAACGCCGCAGGTTTGAGTACACTGAATCAATTGATGTGCCAGCTAAAGAAGTGCCCACTAGATTACAGCAGCTGGCTGCAAAACATAAGGTTGTGTTGTGTATACGGCAAAAGTACATTAGGTATAAGCCCTTCATGGCAGAGGTTAAAGATTACACGTGTCACCGTGCGGGGGAGCCGGCGTCCTCTAAAAAATCAAAGCTTTTGAAGAGGGAGCCTTACGTGTCGAAACGTTGCGGGTGTGGATTTCGTATTCGGGCTATTGTCCCTATATCGAACTACAATGAGAAAGATAAGACCTTTGTGTATCAAGAAGAGGGGATGGCTGTGTTTAAGCTGTATGCAGTGCATTCGGGCCACGAGCCAGGCCCGTCGGATGGGAACGCTAGGATCATGCATCGAGTTGTAGGTCATAAAGGAGGCTTCTTGATGATGGATCAAGAAACAATTTACGGGGTCAGAGAAGAAGTAGATAATGAGGATTTTGGGGACATCCAACACTCAGTTCTGCAGCAGTTGCAGGAAGCGAGAAGTGAGATCGAGCTTCTTGAAGGGCAAATCGGTAAACTTCCACACGAGCTTTTATGTTCGGCTTCGCGAGAGCTATTCGATATCGTGAATAGGCTCAAAAATGTTAGAGAGTGTGGCTCTAGGTCAGTTGGGCTTGGATTGGTCTCCGAGAAGCACGATTCGGTTGATGTCTTGGTGGGGGGAAATGATTTGGTAGATTGGGGTGGTGGTCACCATCAAAGGCTGTACGTGGATGGAAAAGAAGCCGAGTTCATTGAAGAAGATGAAGACAGCTTTGGAAGAACTCTAGGGGAAGTTGCTTCCTGGGATCAAATGAGGACTCGCTGTGGAAGCCAGACTTGTAAGCCAGATAAACAACACCTTGGAAAAGGCATTGAGTTCGACGAGAAAAGCTTTCTTGATTCCAAACTGGCCAAACCCTTAATAAGGCACGACGAGAGTATAGATACAGATGTCGGCTTTGTGGTGGAAAACTTCTATGAAAACCCCAAATGGTTTGACTCGCCCTGCGGCTTAGACTCTGGAACGGATTGCGGCGACAGTGAATTCAGACATGGGGGAATTGTGTAGGAAAAACTCGCACCACGACACACTAACTGACACTTCAGGGGGTATTGTTTTTCTTTTTTCGAAAAAAAAAGTTAAGGTCACCTCACCTTTCACCCCAATCTTCTCACAAACATTGAACAGTAACGGGTGTCTGTGTATGTCTGGGGTGAGATATGGGATGCCTTTAGCATGTTTCTTGTTTTCCATGGTGCCATTCTTATGTTCTTAATTGTTGCAAGCGAGCTGTACATTGTGCATTTTCAACGGGTCGATGTTTTTTTTCGTAGCCTCTCAGTTTGTCTATGCTGTATGTTTGTAGTTCTGTAAAGTACGGCCTCCCTCTGGGTCTGTATCCACACTTTTTCACGACGATAAAAATATTAAATTTGTTGACTTGCCAGGGTTCAAACATATAATCAAGCATTGGTTCTTCATCTATGTTCCTACCTTGTCATCTGCTGTTTCTTGCTGTCATGTTTGTGTTCCTAGGTTGTCTATCTGTCTGTCTTGACATACTTCCATGATGATCATAGGCTATGTTGCCAATTGGTTTTCTTGTTAAGCAGGTGGAGTATGTGTTTGTTTTTTTCAAAGCTTTTCCTTTCCCCCCTTATATTATCATACATTAAAAGAAATGTGGTTCTGATAAATATTATCGGGCCGTTTCCACTGGCTTTTCGGAGTACCTTCGGTGTCCCGTTCATAAAATTGATGGGTTTTACCCTTTAACTCCCACCCTGCCCCCCAACCCCGACCCCTTTAAATGTGTGGCTACGGAACCAAGAATATATGCCATTGGATTTTGTATTATACACATTTTTGTACTCTCGTATATCGTTACAAAAGAAAAAAGGCGAATACGATAATCGCTCCTACGATGTGTTTTTTAATGATCAATTTTAAAAAGAACAAAGTGACATTAGCAATTTTTATGGTATTAAAAACATACTCCGTAATACGGAGTTTTCCTTGTTTTATTAAGCTATTTAACTCTATGTACTACTCCTATATCGTACCTCATTTGTCCCTATCTATAATTTGATTTAAAATCACTAGATTAATTTAGAAATATGAATTGAATTATCTTATTCTTATGGTACTCCTTATTACTCCCTCCGTCCTAATTTATAGTGCATGTTCCGATTTACGATGTTTGATTGGAATTATTTTTAAATTATTTTATATGACAAATGATATAGAGTTAAAAAATAAAAATTACATATTAAAATACATCTACAAAACTAATAGTGATGATAGTACTTTATTTTATCAAAATGCTAACAAAAATAGAGAAAAAGTGAATAAAGTTTGACTTTATAAATAATAAACAGACAATATAAATTGAGACGAGAGGATTAACTGTTAAAAGTATTGCACTAAGACCATAAAAAAATCAAATACTCCGTATTTTATTGTCCTCAAGACTGAAGGAGGGAGTATTGTTTGGTCTTGATTTAGTACTTTAGTTAAAATATGCAAACACATCCCATTTGTAAAAAAGAAAAAAGAGCTGTATGGCAAAATCACCAATTTAACACATCCAACACAAGATTAACTTTTTAACGGTGCAGATTACTAACGCTTTCAAAACGCCAAAGCTGATGCCAAACGAGACCTCAATATTACATTTTTGAAGATTTCTTTGTGCTCCATCCAACACACGAGTCAAAATAATCTGATCTCCGAAACATGATAATGTAGCAATCCAATTATAAACACAAATGAACCAAAACTGTAAAGTCAGCTGGCACAACATATATAGTGTTGCAATTAAGGACCAGACCAAATTGGTAGAGATTGTAGCTAAATAATTCACTGGAACATGTTTCATGTATAGCAGTCCATAGCTAGATTGACTCAAATGATCATTCCCATCAAGATCTTGGAGCTGCATAAGATGACAGATGATTAAAAAAACAATGGGGAAAGAACATCTACTCCCTCCAATCCTTCATCCCCAAAAGAAAATTCTAATCTGAATTCAAGGAGTTTAAAAAAGTTATTGGGAAGTAAAATTTGTAGATAAAAAGAAGCATTGCAACACAATTAATCATTTCCTCTTATGGAAGAAGAAGTGTGTGAAGTTTATTTTGGAACAGACGAAAAAGAAAAGTGAGAACTCTTTTCTAGAAAAGCAGGGAGTACTAGTTATGGCAATGCAAAGGGGACTTCAATATTACCTCCGCCGATTGTTGCTTCAGGCATCCGTTCAATAGAGTATTTGCGTTGTGTGATGTACATGATCGGTACACCCGGGATCTAAATATGGAACAACAAACCAAATTTTAAAAAATCACATTACAAGAAAAAAAGGAGCAACCAAAGGCCAACAATTGCATGTTACTGCTTACCTTGCGGATCCTCCGCTTCAAATCTCGATCACATGTTGCGACAATATAGCACTTATGCTATTTAAACCAAAGGAGCAAAAAATCAGACAATCAAACATAAAAAAACAAGCAAGTTTTACTATGCAGGGAAGGAAATAAACCTGAGTAACCCTTTCAACAAGGCAGTCATCAGCATAAGTTCCTTTATGAGTACAAGGAAGCCTTTCAAATCGAGGGTCCTTTGCAATTCTATTGTGTGGTGGGGAGAAAAGCACAATACATGAAGGAGCAGATCAATTAGCACGAAAAATACCACATATTATCAATGAGTGAAACTCTGATTATTTAGATTATTTAAGTAGTATTCTGATTTTCACCAAAAAAATAAGTTTGTGAATGTATTAAAAATAGGCTGAATACATACCTGAGGGCAACACGATACTTTTGACCTAACTTCTCAAGCTCAGCCATCACACAGTCCGTAATACAAGGAGTGCCTAAGGGAACAACCAAATGAAAAAAAAGAGTTTGAGTTCCCATTACGAGTGAATATGAAAACACCAATACAGTTATATGATTCTCCCAATAAATGAGAGGTAAGTTGGAGAATGCACTAAACCAAGCAAACAGTAGACTACTTTTAGGACTACAAGCAGTGCAATAAAATAAAGAGTTAATTACCCCAAAAAATCCTAACTTTCAACTTTTTCAATTTTCTAGCACACACATACAAGTAGTTTTGCAGCTGTCGCTAATCAGAAATGAAAATTACAGTCCATCGCAGAGATGGAGGAGAGAGGATAAGGTGTGTAACTGAGGCCCTACGTTCCCTAACTGACCTTCCTTCACAAAACAAAATCTTCAACTGAATCAGGTTTGGGACTTCAACTACAGTGTTTTAGTTCTCCTACATCTTCTATTTAGACTAAAAGTTGCATTTTTATTGGAAAAAGCTTCCATGCTCCCAAGTTAGAAACCACGAAAGACAACCGTGTGTGAATTTGTTAAAATAGAAGGTTGCCAACATTTCATTAACTGTTGTCATCCAAAGAGTCAAACTAGGGGGCATTATAGCATGTGCCTTTTTTACTTGGCAGCCACTACATGATACTTAAACAGGTAGCTAAAGGAACTTCAGAAGCCAATTTAGAGGAATGTGCATGTATATGTAATTAGTGAAGGTATAAACTAGAATACTGTAACAGTCAAAAGTTGGGATATTTTTGGTAATTGACCCTAAAACAAACTGTGCCAAATAGAGAACAGAGCTGAACCAAGCACCAGTTACTTACATTTGGCATACAAGCAGTCCAACATTCCTTTCTCCAAATCCAACTGTACGTGAATTTTAAATCGGTTAGATAAACATGGCTACTGGTTAAAGCCCTAAAATTCATTCTCATAACATCAAAAACAACCAGAAAAAAAACTCTAACAAAAACCAAATAGTCCAGTCTTGATCCCAAATAAGCATCGTTGACTTAGAATAGAAAAATTCAAAGACCTACCTTGTTCTGAATGGAGAAATTGATGAAGTTGGTATCAACCAACACTCTGTATGGGGGTCCCAATGCAGTGTTGTACTTGAAGAAAAGCGCAGAAGAAACATAAGGCCTGCAACAAATATCGATTTCTTTATAAAATCTCAACACCAAAGATAAGAAATAACCAAAATATATGGAACAGAGATCCCTACACATTCCGCGGAAGCCTCTCTTTGCTCAAATCTTTCTTTTTTGGGTTCAAAACTTCCTCTTTATGTCTGAAAGAGATTAATTTAAAAAAACAAATCAAAAGAGAACAAATTGACAAAAGTCATACATTTAGAATAAGAGGCAGAGGGTTAACTGCTTGATAGCCTTTTGGGAGACTATCCTCTTCATGGAGGCAAATTTGACTGGATTCTTAGCTTTTCCCATTGCGAGATCACAGAGCTTTTAGGAGCGTACAGAACTGACAAAACCCTAAAACCTTCAAGTTGGGAGGAGGATGGATACAAAGTAAAAACCAGCCTCTGTTATGGTTGAAGGATGCATATCAATTAGTACGGAGTACAATATATCACAGAGCTATCTTACCGCCGCAGCGTCGTCCGTCGGCCGCCGTGCTCACGGGCGTCCTCTTGCCGCCTTGAGTAATTTGGGCTAATGGGTGAAAAGGGAAGGAAGAGAGGCAATCGGAAGCGAAATCTGAGAAGGAGCCCACTTAAGAGTTTCACATTCAGATTTAACTCATTTAACAGATAGTGGACCTGACCAGATAGCACCGGCCCAATGTGTTCATTCTCAACTTCACCAAGGCCCAGCTTCTCTTCACTTCATCTCCGAATCCTGATTGAAATAAGTTTTATTCTGAATCAATCTTAAAGTACTTATATTTAAAGCGGTTTCTAATCTGATCTGATTCTAATTAAAAAGTAATAAGAATATATTGAAAAAAACATGGTCTAAACCATGCACAATTAGTAAATCCAGAATCGAAAAAAACAAATCTCTTATCCATACAGTATTACTAGAACTAGTATATGGTTATTTCCAAGATAAAATTATTACAATGTGACAATGTACTACAAAATATTATATGCTAGCATTCTCTATTTTTTTGGTATCATGTGTTAGTATTATTGACATCGTTAATATATATTAGCATTCTTAATCGATCGTTCGTAAGGTACAGAGAACAAAGAACAGAGATTTGTTGAACATAGTTCAACTCATCTCGTTTCACTATGTTACACCGAAATCGATAAACCATTAATAAAATAACATTTATTTTAAATATTGTTATAAATCGTTTGCATTGTTAAGGTTTCAAAAGTCCTTTTTCGTTTTCTATACACGTAGTGCATCAACTCTAATATCTCTAGTGACTACCGAGTAACATCTTACATCTCATTCATTCTATTTTACTCGTGTCTGGTTGAAGGGAGAAATTCGAGAGTACGACTTTGTTCTCTTCGGTTGAAATTTCAGAGTTAGATGTTGAAATAAACTAAAAAAATTGACAAAAAAATGGAAAAGTTGGAAAAAATTAAGAGTTGAAAAAAAATGTAGAATTTTAGTGTTAAAAAGTCACTCAAAAACATGATCGAAAAAAATATATAATAAAACTCTAATTTTGGATTAAAAAAATTCATCATTGTTCATGTTTAAGTTGATATATTATAAATTTAGATAACATATATAAATATGTTTTTAAGTCGGAGTTGGAAGAAATTAGAATAAGTTGGAAAGAACTCGAAAAAATTTGAAGAAAATGAAAGAAATTGAAAGAAATTAAAAATTAATTATTTCAATCCCAAAGAAGATGGTCGAAATGAAGAGGAGAAAAAAGAGTGAATTCCATGTAAAAAAAAAGTTATTCCCACCAGAGAGAAAATAGAGTAAAAGAGAATGAGAAGGCTATTGTACCTTTTTATGAGAGTAAATTCCATAATTAGTACTTTATAATAGAGGGGTTTCCATATTTAGTCCTCTATTATCAAGTATTACCCTCGTAGTCCTTTTTTTAAGGGTACATTTCCACAAAAGGTCCTTTTTTTGATCTTCTGCCGTGTTGGTGTTAATTTAAAGGCTAAAAGTATAATTTGACGTCAACATTATGTCTAGTGACGTGTTCTGATATTGGTTAAGCGAATAACACAAAAATAATGACTATGATTGTGGGCTAGGATTCTGACGAAAGATCTCATTTGTAGACTATAGTTGTCGTAAAAAGCGACTGTAATTCACAAACGACGCAAACGGAATAGCCTTTGGAATTGTGTATGACAAAAAAGATATATTATCATTGTGAAATTAAACTTTTAGCCCTCAATTTAACACGAACATGATAGAAGATCAAAAAAGGACTATTTGTGGAAAGGTACCCACAAAAGAAGGACCACTTGTGTAATATTTGATAATAGAAGACTAAATAGGGAAACCCCCCTGTTATAAAGGACCAATTATAGAATTTACTCTTTTTATGATAATAGATGAGTATATTTTATTGTTTTATAATAAGAGCATAAAAGTAATTTTACCATATTACCTTTTTTTATCCAAACGACAATTTTTTTTCTTCAAAATTTTCTTTATTTTCTTTTATCCTAATTAACCATTTCCTTTCTCATTATTTTCTTTATAATCCAGCCCGTGACTAATAGACGAAAGAAGTACTGTTTTTCATCTATACACAACATATTATCCTCCCTTCATAATAATTTCTCGGTCCTAAATTAGTTTACAATACTTGCATTACGAAGTAAAATCTAGTGTTCTTTCAAAATATTCTATTTAAAAATGGTATAAGAATAACCTCAAAAATTCATTCAAATAAGAGGTGAGACAAATATATTATTTTATCTATTAATCAATAAAAACATGTAAATAAATGAAATTATCCGGAAATGAAAGAAAAAATTATAATTAATTACAGGACGAAAAGAGTAAATTTTATTGTTCTATGTTTTAGTTGTTTAAAAAAGAAAGTTATTCAATTATAAATCATTTATTTTTAAGGGATGAGAAAAGTTCTTTAAGAACGCATGCAGTATTAAAAATGTTATTTTTTTAATAGTTAAAATTGTTATAATTAATTTGTAAATAATTAAAAAATGGATAAATAATTCATTTAATTCCCATAGAAATTTCGGATGTTGGCATGCTTCTTCATCCATGATAAACTAACCCCTGTCTGGTTCGTTGACCACTCTGTATAGCGTGAAGACTCCCACTGTATATTTGTAAAATAAAATCAAAAAGCAAAATTCGCCATCGCGATCTGCAAATTCCACTCCATTTCAGCCCGCCTTCCGCCCGGCCACGGCACGGATCTCCGGCGATTTCTATCCATTTCACCATCGCCGCCGCCGCCGCCGCATTACAGATCTGGCATAGCTCGAGGGAACGTTAAGATAGCCGTAGTCGGAACAGGAACAGGGAATGGCTTCCGTGGAAGCCGATTCCCGGCTCGGCAAAGTCCTAGTCCCTGCACTCGAGAAGATCATTAAGAATGGCTCCTGGCGCAAGCACTCGAAGCTCGCTCACGAGTGTAAGTCCGTCGTTGATTTCCTCACTTCGTCGACCCCTATACCTACCTCTCCCGTTTCTCCATCCAATCAATCTGATCCGGACTCGTCCCCTTCCCTCCCCGGCGTCCTCCTCGAGCTCTCCCTTGCTGATTCCGAGCTCCTCCTCAGTCCTCTCATCAATGCAACTGCCTCCGGTAACCTCAAGATCGTTGAGCCTGCTCTGGACGCCGTCCAGAAACTCATCGCGCATGGATACCTCCATGGCGAGGCTGACCCTACTGCCGGCCCGGATGCTAAGATTTTGGCAAAAGTTGTGGAGGCTGTTTGCAAATGCCGCCACCTGGGGGATGATTCGGTTGAATTGCTGGTTATAAAGTCTCTTTTATCGGCTGTCACGTCTGTATCGCTGCGAATCCATGGGGATTCGCTGCTGCAGGTTGTGCGGACTTGCTATGATATATATCTGGAAAGCAAAAATGCTGTGAATCAGACTACTGCCAAGGCTTCATTGGTCCAAATGCTAGTGATTGTGTTCAGGAGAATGGAGGCAGACTCGTCTACTGTGCCACTGCAGCCTATTGTGGTGGCAGAGTTGATGGAACCGCCGGAGAAGGCAGATGCCGATGGGTCAATGACAATGTTTGTTCAGGGATTTATAAGCAAAGTTATATATGATATAGACGGGGTTCTGAATTCTGCCACACCAAAGAGTTCAACCAGTACTGGTGGAGCTCACGACGGTGCGTTTGAAACCACTACTTCAACTGTGGAGTCTACTAACCCTGCTGATTTGTTGGACTCAACAGACAAGGATATGCTGGACGCCAAGTACTGGGAGATCAGTATGTATAAGACAGCCTTGGAGGGGCGGAAAGAGGAGCTGGTGGATGGTGAGGGCGAGAGGGATGAAGATTTGGAAGTGCAAATCGGGAATAAGTTGAGGCGAGATGCGTTTCTGGTGTTTCGTGCTTTGTGTAAACTCTCCATGAAGACTCCTCAAAAGGAAGCCATGGTAGATTCACAGTCGATGAAGGGGAAGATTGTGGCTCTGGAGTTGCTCAAAATACTTTTGGAGAATGCAGGTGCGGTTTTCAGGACAAGCGAAAGGTATCATTGGACATTTAAGCTGAAAGGCTTTGTATCAATTCTTTTCAACTTTGATTTCAACTATTGTTTCGGCTTTTTAAAGCTTTTGTTTTTGTTTTCAACTTTACGAATGTATGCTTAGCTTATCTTTCACTTATGAAAGAAGAAAGAAGGGTATGCTCATATATTTGAGAAGCATGTACAGTTTTTGTTTATACACTTAAAACTAATGGATAGATATATGGACCTAGTCCTATAGGATTAGAGGTAACACTCCGCCTCAAGTAGGAACAAACGGTGTCTGGCCCTTTTATTTGTCCACGTCAACTATTTGTTAACTTCTAGTTTAGTTTTTGAAGACTCGTAGGTAATCTTTGGTTACTAATAATCAAATATTATGGAGTATAAAAAATAAGTTCAAAATTAGTTCTAGTGTCAATCCAAAACATGCCGTATAATTTGGGACAAGGTAGATATCAATCATGCCAAGCTTGTTACAAATATCATTAACCCTATTGTCATTGAATATTTAGATTTGTTTTCTCTGTGTGCTATGCATGCCTGCTCTCTTCACATGTTTAGCAATTTGAATCAGCTAGGGACTTCAATATATTGACTTACGATTTTAATAAGAAAAATAATTTGTGCTGGTGACAGTGAGATATTTGAGCTTCCTAGCTACCCACCAGCTATCAGTCTAGCTTTCTGATCCATAGGGGTTTCACAATGTTTTGCTTCATGTGATTCAGCTTTCTCAAGCTAGTCCAAATGCTTAGCACACACTTAAATGAACCATGGTCTTTTGCATCAAATTTTGTCTACATCGTCTCTGATCCAAAAAATATACCTGTTATTTTTTTTGTCTACATACATGTTTTGAACACTTCTATTCATCATTACTTGTGGTAATAGTATCAACTGTCAACTTCATACCGAGTCAAAAGAATGCAAAAATAATTAATTTTAAAAAACAATATCCTCCAGTTTTTGGGATTTGTGACTGAACACTAGAATACACTAGATTCTATTTCAAAAATCTAGGTCTTCAACACAATGCGTAGGATTTAAAAGGGTTGACCCGACATAGAACCCTTAGACT